GCGAGGCCCCCGTTCCCCCTCTCCCCCTAGAACAGCCTTGGCTGATTGCGGAGACTGTTTTAATCAGGTGGAGTAAGCTCCGAGGCTCCCCCTCCCCCTTGATCCCCTCAGCGTAGACGCGCGAAAATTTGATGCCCACAATTGCGCCGACGTCATCAAGTGTTCCTCTCTCTCTCTTTCTCTCTCTCTCTCTCTCTCTATCTCTGGAAAAAAGCATTGCAAAAACCACCCTTCGAGTGAAAGGAGGTGCGGGGGGATAATATCATGCGTCGGACGAGCAGCTCAATTCACAATTGGACACACATCGGGTTAACAAGGTGTGTTAGTTCTAGTGGCCTTCGGTCCATCCCGCCACCGCGCCTGTGTTATGAGTTGGAGGCATGCTGGATGCTTGTCAGGGGCGCATCCACCAATGCACATCCGATATGATTCAAGTGGCACCGATCGGGTATCGCTGGCGTCATGTCTACAGCGATCCACGTGGGTCACATCGTTCCATCGATAGAATAAAATGAGTGGCGTGAGAGGATTTAGGCCCAAGCCAAGTGGTCCAAATCAGCCACCGCGTGCGTCATAGCGTCTGTGTCATTCGAGTACAGCTTGAGTCATGTCGCCCGTACTCGTACAAGTCCAATCGGTAGCGGCAGCGGCGGTTGGAGTAGATATTACCCAAGTAGCACCATTCGAGTACCACTTGAGTCACAGCGTTTGAACATTGAGAAGTGCAAGCGGTAGCGGAGATAGCGGTCAGAATATACATCTCTCATTTACCGGAACTCGGTGTGCGGGGGCCTTGGGCTGCAGCACACCAGCGGCACCCAGGGTACATTGAGGGCCTCCTCCCCTCACACAGCCTCCCTGGGGCTACCCCGGGCTGCCCCAGGAGGTTCCCGGAGCTTCAAAGAAGCTCGCCAAGGGACCCAAAAGGGTCCCACGAAGTCCCCAGGCTCCCGAGGAGGCTTCCAGAGTGTGGTATTGATGGTAAAAGTGGTTGTGGTGGTGTTCATGAGGAGGATGCAGCTGATGAGGATGGGGATAAGGATAATGATGTTGGTGCTGATTATGCTGATAATGGTGATGCTGGTGTTTGCGCGGGTGCGTGTGCGGATGATGATGGCGATGATGGTCATGGTATGGCTACGATTATGATGGCATGGTGATGATGGTTTGGGCTATGATTATGACTATGGTTGCGAGTATGATCGTGATTGTGAGGTGATGATGATGAGGAGCAGGAGGAGGATGATGACGGTGGTGGTGTCGGTATTGAATATGTATGGTGATGGTGGTGGTGATAAAGATGGTGATAAGGTTGGTGATGATGATGGTAATGATGATTGCGATAATACGTCCGACGACGATGACGATGACGATGACGATGATGACGATGATGACGATGATGATGATGCTGCTGATGCTGATGCTGATGCTGATGCTGATGCTGATGATGATGCTGATCCTGATGCTGATGCTGATGATGATGATGCTGATGATGCTGATGCTGATGATGATGATGCTGATGATGATGATGATGCTGATGATGATGATGATGATGATGATGATGATGATGATGATGATGATGATGATGATGATGATGCCGACGATGCCGACGATGCCGACGATGATGATGACAGCCGTCTGGCTTGAGCGGCTGCAGCTGCCCTTTTTGCGGAGGACCTAGGCCTTTCTCCCGTGGGTCCGGGGACCCGCACATATGGCAGGCCCTGGGATAGGCTGGTGGGGCCCGCCTTGTTGGTGCGAGCGACCGCGGAGCCCCCCCCGGGCGCCTGGGAAGGGAGCGCCAGTGGGCGCTCTCGCTCCCCAATGCAAGCTGGAGGTTGCGCAGCGAGATGGGGCTCTGCGCCCGCGACGCGCTGGTGGATGCGTTCCGGGACCTCTTCGACGGGGTAGACCGCAGACCGCGGCGCCCGCCCCGACGCCGAGAGGGCGCACCGACTCGGCGAGACCAGACCTTTGCTGGAGACCCTCGTGGCTTGCGCGGGAAAGTGGGGAATCCCGGTCGCGGGAGGGCCGGGGGCGCCCTTCGGGCACGCCGGAGAAGACGCGGAGCCGCCCAGGCAGTCGGCGAGCGGAGGGGGCCGGCGTCTCTCAGGAGCGTCAGCCGCTCATGCCCTGGGCGGGGGGGGCCAGCGCCCCCCCTCACGGGGGGCCAAGCGGCGGGCGCAACGGGGCCCTGGGCCCGCCTGGGCGGGCTGGTGGGCGAGCGCGAGGAAGGCTACGTGCCGGTGGCACCCCAGTGGGTGAAAGGGTCGGAGCCGCGCGTCTGCGGGGTCCCGGTCGTGGAGACGACGAGGCCACGGTGGGCCCCACCTCCCCGCAGCGCCCGGGCTGGGGGGTGCGCCCGGGAGGCGGCCCACAGAGGTTGTCAAGGCGCCGCGGGCATCGCGCTCCTCGGCAGGAGAGGGCGCCAGCGCGAGCCTCATGAACAAGCCACCCCAACCCAACCCGAAGGCCTCCATTTGACCTCCATTTCCAGTGGGGGGGGGTCGGGGAACATCGAGAAAACACATGGAACCCGTATCCCCCCCCAACCCGAAACTCGGATCTTCGGGTTGGGTTGGGGTGGTCTGGTAGGTAGTCATTCCCCAGGGCAAGGCGTGGACGGCCTGGGGCGCGCGCGCGCGCGGCCTGGTTTGGGATGGGAAGAGGGGGGCGGCCTGGGCGCCGGCGCCAGGCCTGCAGCGCAGAGAAGCGCGGCTCCACCAAGGAGGACAAGCGCAAGGGGAAGGCGCCGTTCGGGAGCGGCGCGCGGGGCGCCGCGCGCCGGCGGACCCGGGCAACGACTCGGGCGGCGCGGGCCCGGGCAGGCGCCTTCGCCGCGCTCGCTCGGATAGCTGGGAGCAGCCCCCCGCCAGAGCTGTGACGAGCGGGGCGGTGGGCGCCCCGTCGGCCCAGCACTCATGCACGACTGGGCGCCGAAGGGGCTGTTTGCCGGGAGGTGTCCGAGGACGCCATCCGCGTGGAGGACGACTTCGGCCCCAACGAGGAAGTCCCCGGGCCCGGGAGGGGACTGCACGGGAGGAGGGCCTGGGGATGTGCTACCACCTCTATAGACGATGCTCGTTGTGGATCAGGATCTATATATATATATAGAGAGAGAGAGAGAGAGAGAGAGAGAGAGAAAAAAATTTGTCAGGGCAGGGATGACACTGGGACACCTGGGAAACCCCTGGGCAGGTTCAAGTTGAGCCAGGATCGAGCCACGTTTTGAGGGCGCGCCCGCCGGAGGGGCGGCGCGCGCCCCCGAGCGAAGCTTTTTAGCGCGCGCGGCGCAGCGCCTCGCGCGCACTGTGGGGGTGCGGAGGCCGGCCCCGCGGGATGCCATGAGAGTGAGCTCTCAGGCGGAGTTCGTTTGTTTGGACCGGATGGGGTGGAGGGCCCGTGCGGGCCACGTGGGCGGGGGGGTCCAGGACGGACTCCTCCCGCTGCCCGCCACGAGAATGGTGGGCCTCCCCCCCCCTCTTCCTCCAGCAGCGAGTGGGCCGTCGGGCAGGACTCATCTCTGTCACTGGGGCTTCCCCTTTCTCACAGGTCAATCCTGCCCCCTGCATCTCTCTCTTTCCTGCTTCTTTTTCCCCTGGCAGCCGTCTTGCTTGAGCGGCTGCAGCTGCCCTCTTTTCCTCCCAGCCCCGCAGGTCTCCCCCCGCCGTGGGGCGGGGGGCCCAACACGGACTCCCCCCATTGCCCGCCGCAATAATGGGCGGGTTCCCCCCTCTCCTCCAGTAGTGAGTGGGCCGTCGGGAAGGACTGATGATGATGATGATGGTGGTGGTGGTCATGATGATAATGGCATTGGAGGTGATGATAATGACGATGATGATAGTGGTTGGCGATGGTGATGATGTTGGTGATGATGATGATGATGATGATGACGATGAAGGTGATGGTGGTGGTGTTGCTGCTGCTGTTGCTGCTGAAGAGGAGAAGGAGGAGGAGGAGGAGCAAGAGGGGGAGCAGGAGGAGGAGGAGGAGAACGAAAAAGGAGCAGGAGGAGGAGGAGGAAAGAAGTAGGCCGTCACGTGTGACATCTCTCGTCTTTGGTATTTGAGGAGCCCTCGTAGAACTCGTTTGGGCAGTCTTTGGGCTGTTGTGGTCTCCTATCAGGCAGCATTTGGTGTCCCTTGGGGCCCTTTTGGGCTTTTTCGATGCCCTTTTACACCGTTTTGGCGCTCCTTTTTGGCCCGTCCTGGGGCGCTCTTATCCGTGGGTGTTTTGTGGCCGTCGCGGGGTTGTCTTGGGCTTTGGGGGAGCATGGATCCGCCGTTTTTTCACGAAGGGCTTCGGCCCGGGGAGGGGGGGCGGCGCATGCAGGTGGACGCGTCCCTGGTGGAAGGGGTCCTTCACTAGAGTGCAAAACCTACCAGACAGCCTTTGGCATTCTTCCACACCTCAACGTGCAAAAGCACGGTGGCAAGCAGATGAGGAAGAGTAATAAGTTTCTCTTCAAAGGGGACAAGGCGCGGAGCATGGAAGAGAAGACGCTCTCAGCCTTTTCAGCCCAGAGGGTTGGTGGGATTCAACTACTCAAGGCATCACTAAGGCGTTTGGGTGATTCCAGCAGGCCCACAGGGCCTATTCTTGGTGTGTTCGCCGGTGCATTCGAAGCCTCTTGGGCTCCCGCTGGCGCCTCTTGAAGCTTTTTGGTAGTCAATGGGTGGCTCCTATTTTAGGGCAGTGGTGCGACATTGTCACCATTATTGCTCCGTCTTGGATGCCACTGGGAACATTGGAGAGTTCCAGGGACGCGTCGGGCAGCCCAGGGAGCCTCGTGATAGGGATGCGATGCATGCGGCCTTGCGTGGGGACAAGGGGCGGCCCTCAGAAGACCGATGTACGGAAATCCTACCAGACAGCACTTCGAATTCTGCCACGCCTCAGCATGCCAGGGAGGCACGGTAGCTGACTTATCTTGTGCCTTGCGCCTTCCTCCGGTCATCGCCGAGGGACGGCGCTGGGCAGATGGCTATCGTTCATGCAATAGTTTTTGGCTCGAGCGATCTGGCTTGAGAAACTTTTTGCGCACGAGAACTCACCTGGGCAAGCTGCAATGTCCAACCCCAAGGTGTTCTTCGATATGACCATCGGCGGCACGGCCGCTGGCCGCATCGTGATGGAACTGAGGGCTGACGTGGTCCCGAAGACTGCCGAGAACTTCCGCTGTCTGTGCACCGGGGAGAAGGGCACCGGCAAGAGCGGCAAGGCCCTGCACTTCAAGGCCGCCGCGAGGAAAATGGGGCCGAAATTTATGTTGGCGTTATTGACCGGATGAAGAGGTACTGGTTCCGCTGCCTCTCCCTCGTAGGTACGGTTGGATTCGCTTCGAAATTTAAGAGGTTGCCGCCGCTGCCGCCGACCCTCAAGAAGGCCCTCGAGTTGTCCTGTGGGCATTTCCGCAAGAAGGCTCTCGAGTTTACCTGGGGGTATTTTCGGAGGCTTGGGATCATTCGGTGCTCTGGGGAAGCTTGAGATTGCCCAAGTGAGCTCCGGCGTGATCAGCGCCCATGGGGCAAGCCGAACGTTTCGGTGCCTTGCATGCTTGAAAGAACGTCGCGCATCTGATGCAGCAGTAGGTGGAGCATTATCGAATGGCCTTCCCCCCATGCCGCCACCGTGTCTGTTTGCGAGGCGAGGCATCAGTGGTGCTTTGGGGGTCTTTCTGGAGGGCTCCCGGGAGCTCCTTCGGGGTCTCTTGGGGGTCTCTTCGAGGCCTTTTCAGTTTTGCTGAGGTAGTCTTGGAGCGTTCTGGGGGCCCTCTTGGAGTTTTCTGGGGGCCTCTTCAGGTTTCTTAGGGTCCAGTTGAAGCTCGCCTGCCAAAACCCCAGAGGAGCTACTATCGAATGTTGAGCGGTTCATCCCGCCACCGTGCCTGGGTTGTGTGTCTGAGGCCACTCGGATGGTTGGTGGGGTCTCGTGGGAGGCCGCTCGGAAGTTTCTTGGAGGCAGCGTCTTGTACACATAGGGAAACGACCGAAAGCTAACGTTCACAGGCGGCGGACAATGATCGTCGAATGGCCTGCGGCCCCTCCCGCTCATGTGGCTCGGATGGCTAATGGGATCTCGTGTGAGGCCTCTCGGGGGCGTCTTGGAGGCAGCGTCTTGGCCGCATGTTGGGGCATCTGGAGGCCATCGAGGGCGTTTTGGAACAGCTGCTCGGGAAGCCGCAGGGGCCGTTTGGGCCTGCAGAGGGTGCCCGGGGAGGGCTGGGCCTCTCCAGATGGGTGCGTTCGGGGCGGGAGGGGTCCGCAGACTACGCTCACGTCGAGCGCTCACGTCGTGGTTCGAATCTCGAGGTTCCAGGCTTTCTGGCCCCCTGGGGCTCCTCTCGTCGCCGCGGCTGAACGCAGCGCGACAGCCTAGCGCGTCCAGACCCCGGGAGGGGTCCAGGGACTCATTGAGGGGATTTCTGTCTCTTCCTCTCCTCCTCGTGGTCGTCGTCCTCCTCCTCCTCCTCCTCCTCATCATCATCATCCTCCTCCTCCTCCTCCGCCTGCTCCTCCTCCTCCTCCTCCTCCTCCTCCTCCTCCTCCTCCTCCTCCTCCTCCTCCTCCTCCTCCTCCCCCCTCTTGATCCGGCTGCCTCCTGCGATGCCGCTGCCGTGCCACGGGCTGGGTGGCTCGGGAGGAGCGCCTCGAGCCACGCCTCGTCCACGAACAGCGCTGATGTACGCGGCGGCAGCTGCGCGCACACTCGGCATCGCTCGGAGGTGTGCAGTTCTTCTTGGCGAGGACCATCGAGGAGCATCTTGGATCACCGTGCGAAACAATACGCGCACGAAGTCGAGAAATGCACGAGTGGACGTCCGAGCGATGGCGAGCACAAGCACGGTCGCGCGCACAAAGACGGGCGCTCGGGCAAGGTTGCTGCACATTCTGGCGGGCGGGCGCCCCCTCGCGTTTGCAGGGGGCGGGCGTTCTGACGCTCCTCGTCCCCTGCGGGGAGGGGTGTGCCCTCCCGCACTGGCCTCTGTTCTGGGTGTGGGGTGCGGACCCCTTGCGCGTCCTCTTCTCTCTCTTCCTTACACTGTTCCTTCTCCCCCTGCACCTCTACCGCTTCTTCGTGTTGTTCCTCTTCCTTCTTCTCCACTTCTTCCTCGTACCTCCATCCTCTTGCTTCTCTTCCGTGTCCTCTGTCTTCCTCCGTTTTCCGAAGATGACCGTTGTATTCCTCTTTGTTAGATCGGATGTTTCTACATGTCTTTGATCAATGAGGTCGCCTGGGCGTGGTCTTCGGATGGGCCGGTGGGGACACGGAGCCATCATATTGGAGTCCGACGAGATTGTTTGATTTACGGAAGGACCGTCGTTGAACGAACCAGTTGGAGGTTGCCCAAGACTCTTTAGCATAGTCGGGGGTCGAACCAGCCAACGGTAGGAGTGGAGACGCAAAGACAGCAACCGGTCCAACCAGCATGCTACTTGGGGCCTCGTTGGGAAGCGATTGCTTGGCGGTTGGAAGCCTCTTGGGGGTTCCTTGGGCCCTGTGGGGGCCTTGTGGGGGCCTGCTGGAGTGCGCTTTAGAAGGCTTTTGGGTGGCGCCCTGTGGGCGCTGGGGGGCTCTGGGGATCATCTTGCTGTAGAGGGCTTGGGAAACACCTCGAGTTTCCCCTCTTGGCCCCCGAGTGGCCCAAGAGAAAAAGGCATGGCAAGCACGATGGAAGATCACTGAATTTGGCCTCTCCGGGCCTCTGTGGAGTTCCTTCCAGGGCTATTGGGCCGTTTGGGGGCCCTCTTAGGCCGTCCCGGGGCCTTTTTGGGCCGTGTTAAGGGGCTTCGGTCGTTTTAGGGCCTATTGGGGGTCCTCTTGGACACTCTCCAGGGCCTCCTGTGGCCCTCTTGGGTCTCTCTTGGGAGCCTTTGAGGGCACCATGGGCCTCTCCTGGGCCGTCTTGGGGCTCTCTTGGGCCGTCTTGGATCCTTTTTGGGCCGTCTTGGGGCTCATGTGGGAGCCTTTTGGGCCTTCTTCAGGCGATCTCGGGGGCCTCTGGTCGGTCTCGGACGCCGTCAACACCAAGAGAGCGAAGATGCTAAAAGTGCACGTCTTCCTGGAGGAGTGAGACGATGTTTGCCAGTTCCCAGGGTTGTGCGGAGGTCGGACCCTGTGGGGACCTGGTGGGTACCTGGTAGGGGGTCAGGGTCGGTTGCAGGCGCGGAATTGTCAGGTGGGGAACCCAAGAACACAGCTCCCATGACCGTGCGGGAGTCGGACCTCATGGGGGCCTGGGCGGTACTCGGTAGGATTGTGAGGGTCGGCTCTGGGCGCAGAATTGTCGGGTGGGGGATGCGAAGAACACAGCTCTCAGGACTGTGCGGAGGTAGGTCGGACCTGGCGAGGGCCTAGTGGGTACTTGGTAAGGGGGTCAGGGTCGGTTCCCGACGCGGAATCGTCAGGTGGGGTGTCCGAAGAACAGAGCTCCCAGGACCGTGCGGGGGTCGGACTTGGTGGAGACCTGGAGGGTGCCTGGTAGGGGGTCAGGGCCTGTCCCGGGCGCGGAATGGTCGGGGGACTGGGAGCAAATCTCCCAGGACCGTGCGAGGGTCGGACCTGGTGGGGACCCGGTGGGTGGCTGGTGGGGGGTCAGGGTCGGTTCCCGGCGCGGAATTGTCGGGTGGGGGGTCCCAAGAGCACATCTCCCAGGGCCGTGCGGGGGTCGGATTTCGTGGGCACTGTCTGTAAACACCTGGTAGGGGGTCAGGGGCGGCTCTGGGCGCGGAACGGTCGGGTGGGGGGCGGTTCTGGGCGCGGAGCCAACATGCACGTTGGTTCCGCGCCCGGAACCGCGCCCGGTGCCGACCCTCACCCCCTACCTGGTGCCCACCAGGTGCCCACCAGGTCCGACCCCCGCACGGTCCTGGGAGCCGTGTCCTTGGGACCCCCCCGACAACTCCGCGCTTGGAGCCGACCCTGACCTCCTACCACCAGGTACCCGCCAGGTCCGACCCCCGCACGGTCCTGTGAGCTCTTTTCTTGGGACCCCCTCACCAGACACTTCCGCGACCAGAACTTCCGCGGAGGCAAGGTCCGACCCCCGCACGGTCCTGTGAGCGGTCCGACCTCCGCACGGTCCTGTGAGTGGTGTTCGGACCCCCCACCCGACAATTCCACGCCCGGAATCGACCCTGACCCCCTACCAGGTACCCACCAGGTCCCCACCAGGCGAGGACCTGGCGGGTTCCTGGGAAGGGGTCAGGGTCGGTTCTGGTCGCGGAAGTGTCTGGTGCGGGAGTCCCAAGAAAAGAGCTCACAGGACCGTGCGGGGGTCGGACCTGGCGGGTACCTGGTGGTAGGAGGTCAGGGTCGGCTCCGAGCGCGGAGTTGTCGGGGGGGTCCCAAGGACACGGCTCCCAGGACCGTGCGGGGGTCGGACCTGGTGGGCACCTGGTGGGCACCAGGTAGGGGGTGAGGGTCGGCACCGGGCGCGGTTCCGGGCGCGGAACCAACGTGCATGTTGGCTCCGCGCCCAGAACCGCCCCCCACCCGACCGTTCCGCGCCCAGAGCCGCCCCTGACCCCCTACCAGGTGTTTACAGACAGTGCCCACGAAATCCGACCCCCGCACGGCCCTGGGAGATGTGCTCTTGGGACCCCCCACCCGACAATTCCGCGCCGGGAACCGACCCTGACCCCCCACCAGCCACCCACCGGGTCCCCACCAGGTCCGACCCTCGCACGGTCCTGGGAGATTCTACAGGCTTACGCCACATCCGCCGACCCCTTGTATTCTTTGGTCGCTCAGGTATCAGTTCTTTTGTATTTCCCTTCCCCAGGGGCTCTTGGGGGGTCCTGGGTGCCTCTGTGGGGGATGAGGCAGAGGAGTGGAAAGATAAATAGATGGAGGAAGGTGAGGATGAGGACACGGCGTCAAGCGGGCTCTGGTAGGGGTCCAGGGATTCATTTGGAGGGGATATCGTCTTCACGCCCCGTCGATTTTCGGGGGTCCTGTCCGGCGCAAGGAGAACGTCTACAGCCCCAGGGCCGATTTTCCGAACGAATAGGATGCATTTCGTCCGCCTCCTCCTCCTTCTCTTCCGCCGACATTATTCGCCTACTCTTCCTTGTCCTCCTCCCCCCCACACGTGGAGGAGGAAGAGGAGGAGGAGGAGGAGAATGCGTGTGACCCCGTCCTTTCTATGCAGTGGTGTGTGTGTGTGTGGTTCGATCTTGCTGATGAGGTCCGCCCGGGACCTGCGGGGGTAGTCCTGTGTCGGTTTGGGAGTCCTTGTTGTGGCTTCTGGCGGCGGAGATTTTCGCACGCCTAGAGGCCGACAAGGGGTCGGTCGATATAAATGGTCATTGTGCTTATGCGAGCAGGACTAGCGAGCTAGTAGAAGTAGTAGTAGTAGTAGTAGTAGTAGTAGTAGTAGTAGTAGTAGTAGTAGTAGTAGTAGTAGTAGTAGTAGTAGTAGTAGTAGTAGTAGCAGTAGTAGTAGTAGTAGTAGTAGTAGTAGTAGTAGTAGTAGTAGTAGTAGTAGTAGTAGTAGTAGTAGTAGTAGTAGTAGTAGTAGTAGGTAGTAGTAGTAGTAGCAGTAGTAGCAGTAGTAGCAGTAGTAGCAGTAGTAGCAGTAGTAGCAGTAGTAGTAGTAGTAGTAGTAGTAGTAGCAGCAGTAGTAGCAGTAGTAGCAGTAGTAGTAGTAGTTGTAGTAGGAGGAGGAGGAGGAGGAATAGTAGAGTAGTAGTAGTAGTAGTAGTAGTAGTAGTAGTAGTAGTAGTAGTAGTAGTAGTAGTAGTAGTAGTAGTAGTAGTAGTAGTAGTAGTGTAGTAGTAGTAGTGGTAGTAGTGGTAGTAGTAGTAGTAGTAGTAGTAGTAGTAGTAGTAGTAGTAAGTAGTAGTAGTAGTAGTAGTAGTAGTAGTAGTAGTAGTAGTTAGTAGTAGTAGTAGTAGTAGTAGTCGTAGTCGTAGTAGTCGTAGTAGTAGTAGTAGTCGTAGTAGTCGTAGTAGTAGTAGTAGTCGTAGTAGTCGTAGTAGTCGTAGTAGTAGTAGTAGTAGTAGTAGTAGCAGGGAGGTGTGTTCCAGGGACCTCCCACCCGAAAATGCCGCGCCTGGAACCAACCCTGACCCCCATACCAGGTACCCGCCAGGTCTTCGGGAAGGGGGTCCCAAGAACACAGCTCCCAGGACCGTGCGGGGGTCGGACCTGGTGGGTACCTGGCAGGGGGTCAGGGTCGGCTCCTGGCGCGGAATTGTTGGGTGGGGGGTCCCAAGAACACAGCTCCCAGGACCGTGCGGGGGTCGGACTTGGTGAGGACCTGGCAGGGGGTCAGGGTCGGTTCTGGGCGCGGAATGGTCGGGTGCGCGGAATTGTCGGGTGGGTTACGGGGGGGCGTGGCGGGGGGCCTGGGTCGGTTTGGGGCGCGAATTGGTCGAGTGGGGGGGACCTTCAGAACATATGCTCAGAGGCTCTCGTGGGGTGGAGTGCCGGGGCGATGTTGGCGCGAAATGACCCTGCGAGGGCCCCAAGGGTCTTGCGGAGCTTGCTCTGCTGGAGTTAAGGACCTGGCTCACCTTGGTGGCGATCTGACACTTGAACTCGTGCGTGATACAACTAGCTAAGGATCTGGCGGCAAGGTCCAACATATGCTCAGAGCCTCTCGTGGGGTGGAACATCTGCTCAGAGGCTCTCGTGGAGTGGAGGGCGTGATTCGATTGTTGGCGCGAAATTGTCGAGTCGGAGGCCCCTCAGAACATATGCCCAAAGCTCTCCTGGGGTAGGGGTGCCAGGGCGTGGTGGAGGGCGTGGTGGGAGGCGCAGATCGGTTCCATGCGCGAAATTGTAGAGTGGGTGGCCCCTAAGAACCCATGCCCAAAGCTCTCATGGGGTGGGGGCGCGGCCGGGGTCGGGGTCGGCTCCGAGCCAGAACACCACAAAACACGTTGAAGTGTCGTGTTGTGTCTCACACGCCTCTGGGGTCGGCGGATTGTGGTCAGAACGCACCCGTAGGAGAGGTCCAGGGAGTAGCGGTATCGGCATTTTGGGCCAAGTCCGACGATCGGTCTGAACTCGGACGAGTCGTGGACTCGACCTCGTCCCCGTCCGCGCGGTAGGGGGAGGTCCAGCGAACGGCCTGAATTGAGGCGGGTCGTGAATTCAACCTCATCGCGTCCGCGCGGCAGGGAGGAGGAGGAGGAGCAGATGCAGGAGCAGGAGCAGGAGCAGGAGCAAGAGGAGCAGGAGAGGGAGCAAATGAAGACAAGGAGGAACGGGGCTCTCATGGGATCTTGTGGGAGCCTACTGAGTGCTTCTTGGGGCCCCTTGGGGGCCTCTTGGGGCCTCTTCGGAGCCTCTTGGGGCCTCTTGGCCCGTCTCATGGGGCTCTTGGCCAATCTGACGCCCTCGGAAGCCGTATTTGGGGCCTCTCTTGGCAGTCCTGATGCCATTTGGGAGCGTTTGGGGGCCGTCTTGGGGCCATCTTGGGAGGCTATCAGGCGTCCCCTTGGGTCGACTCAGGGCCCTGGCCTCTTGGGTTGTCTTGGAGTTATATTTTGGAGGCCTCTTGGACTGTCTTGGGCGGTCGGGAACCCATTGCAACATGTTGCAAAAACCTAAGGATGTTTCGCCTCCTCGGGTTCTCCTGAAGACCCCTTGGAGCCCTCTTGGGCCGTCTTGGAAGCCTCTCGAGCCGTCTTGAAGCCGTTAGGGGGCCTCTCATGCCGTCTTGTTGTCATCTTGTTTGTCGTGGGAGCCGTCGAGAGAGACATTTTTGCCGTCATGAGGCGGAAAAGAGCCTTGGAAGGCAAAATCAGAGGGAGCGGATTTCGCCAGGTAGGAAAAGGGGTCGACCCTAGAAAGAACTGAAGACCTTCCAGACAACAGACGAGTATTCTAACACGCCCACTCCGTGCAGGCACAGTGGCTGCTTTCGGTGTCCTCGGCTTCTTGGGCCCTCCCTGGGAGAGTCAAAAGGCGGTCCAGCACAAGTATGTAGCAATGTGGCTTGGGTAAGCCCTGGGGTCTAGGACCTGTTTCCCTCAGAATTGGTTCCCCTCCTGCTTTCCAAGGGCAGCAGCTTCCACCGCGTCATCCCCGATTTCATGTGCCAGGGCGGCGATTTCACTGCCGGCAATGGCACTGGCGGCGAGGCTATCTACGGCTCCAAGTTCGCAGACGAGAATTTCACTTTGAAGCACACGGGCCTTGGGCAGTCTCCAAAGCAAGACCCCCCCCTCCTTCTCTTTGCCTCTCCTTTTTTTCCCCCACCTACCCATCCTCCTCTCTTCCCTTCTCCCCCTCCCCCTCCTCCCTTGGTCCCTCTTCCTCTCATCCTCCTTAGCAAGCCAGCAGGGCAAGGACAAGAGTAAGTCGCTTCAGAACGCTCCAGAGCGGCCTCGGCGCCACTTGGAGAGTGTTGGAGAGTGTTCTTTCTCATAGGATGGCCCATCACGCGCGTTGTGCCCCCCAAAGCTTTCTCCCTTCAGCGCAACGCCCCCACCCCCACAGATCGCCCCGGTCACTGCCCCTCTCAGCAGGGTGCGGTCGCAGCGCTTGCGCGCACGACTGCTTCGCAACAGCGGCCAAAGTGGTGTTCGCAGGCAAACTGGTGCTCGCAGGCAGGGCTCGGTGCTCACGTTCTATTGCGGATCGTTCGACGCGAAGAGCGAAGTTGGGTGACTCATATGTTGTACGTGAATATATATATATATATATATATATATATATCCTGTTTTCGTCTTACCCTCCTTCAGGCCCAGGCATACTCTCCATGGCCAACGCGGGGCCCAACACGAACGGCTCCCAGTTCTTCCTCTGCACCGTCAAGACCTCGTGGCTGGATGGCAAGCACGTCGTCTTCGGCTCCGTCACCGAAGGCATGGGCGTCGTCGTCGTTTTCGGAGGGCGTTCTTGGTTGCCCCTGTTGGACTTCCGATGGCCTCCAGAAGCCTCTGGAGACTCCGGGGGCCTCAAGGGACCACGACGGGTTCCAGGGACCTCTGGGGCCCTCCACGGACCTTCACAGCCTCAGACCTCTGGAGACCACCAGACTTCCGTTCAGCGGCCGCAAGAGACTCGGACGGCGGTCGAGCGGCGGCGGGGCACGACGGGGAGGAGGGCGCGACCAGGCGCGAGGGGGCCAGAGAGGCCAGGGGCAGAGGCAGCCACACTCGGGCCAGATATCCGACGACGCGGATGCCTCGACCATGGGCCCCGAGGTTTCGGCGCCATTCCCCAGGGTAGCGCTCTCTCGCCCGGGGCAAGCCCTGATGGTCCCCCGGTGCCGAAAAAGCGGCCCCTGGAGGCCGCGCAGACGGAGCACGCCGTCGGAGGTCTGGGCGCTGGCCCTTCGCTGTCACTGGATGCGGTGCAGTCACGGCGCTGTAGTAAGAGCCGCCTTGGCTTCGGAGGTGGCTCGCTGTTCCACAGGCCATTCCGTGACCGTTCCTCTGACCCTCTGCGTGCACACAGGCCCTTCTGACAGCTAAAGGGGTTTCGCTGCTTCTTTGGCGCTCCGGGCCTAGACAGGCGGGCACACCGGAACGGGCGGACAGTTCTTCGTGGGCGTACATGTGCCCGCCATTGGAACTGGTGGGCCTTGCAAAAAGAGGAAGGGGAGAACGAGGGAGAGTGGGAGGAAGGGAGGGGGAGGCTCGAAGGAAGAGGGAAGACGCCAGGAGAGAAGGAGCGCAGAGGGGAGGGAGGGAAGATGTTGCTCCCAGATTGAGGTTTGCCTTGGGGTTTCTTGAGAGAGACGGATGGATGCCAGACGCGGTCGCGCCAAGGTTTCCCCCTGTTCATCGGATGCGTTTCCTTACGGCAAGGGTTTTTTGGGGTTCCTTCTTGTTGTTTCCTTACAAGGCTATGCCTGCTTTCCTTGATCTTGGTTCTTTGGTCTTAATTTCTTGGTCTTGGCTTCGTGGTTGCTTGGTCTTGCATTCTCGGTTCCTGGACATTGGTTCCTCGGTTCCTTGATATCGGCTCCTTGGTCCTGGTTCCTGGATTCCTGAGTCTTGATTCCTCGCTGCCTCGTCAAGCAATTCCAAAGAATGCCAAGCAACGCCGCGCAGTGCCGAGCAACGCCAAGCAATGAGAAACAATCTGCAAGGCAATGCCACGCCATGCCACGCAACGCGCCCCTACCCTAGCGAGCTTCATCCTGACCGGGGTCTCGCCGGGCACACTGTTTACCTCTTGCTTGGCGGGGGCGCACTGACGAGCTGCAGCGTTTGCAGCTAGCAACTGTGCCTCGGACGAATTCGAGGCGTTGCCGATGCGGGTTCGGCTCCACCGAACCATGCCCCAGAGGGAGGGGAGGGTGAGGAAAGAAGAGGACAGGAGGAGGAAGAGGAGGAGGATGTGGGGAGCCCTGGCGGTCAGGATCTGCCAGCATTTGGCGACATGCACTATTCATCTGAAGTCCTGTGTCGGTCAGTCCACGGATTCCCAATCAACCTTCCGTGCCCTCGAAGGCAAAGCAGCCTCCTAAACGCCAACCTGCAGGTTTAGATTCTCTCACGCCAGAAAGGCTGGTTGCAGGATAAGCTATAGGAAATGTCACAGCAGCCTGCACCACTGGGATTCGGTGCCAATCGCTACTCGGAACTGGAGGCTGAACGAGGGAGAGAACGATACTTAGCAGGTCTTACATGTCAGGATGCGATGGGATCGGTTGGCATACGTATGTATGTATATATATATATATACATACACATATACACGCTCTGAGAGATGTGTATATATATATATAAATATGTGCACGTGGTCTTTGCCCAGGCTTCCCCTGCTTTGCCCTGCCAGTGCAGAGGGGCAGAGAGCGTGACCTTGGATGATCTGCTTGCGCAGCTCCCATAACACCACTCGAGACCCCATCGCTCCACTGGTGTCTGCTGCGCCTGCCTTGCGCCAGGCACTCTGAGGGAGGAGGGGCAGGATGAGAAACGCGCAGCAGCACAGCACCAGAAACCGTCATCACCATCATCATCATCATCATCATCATCATCATCATCATCATCATCATCATCATCATCATCAGCATCAGCATCGTCATCGTCATCGTCATCGTCATCGTTATCGTCATCATCATCATCATCATCATCATCATCATCATCATCATCATCATCATCATCGTCAGCAGGAGCATCATCATCATTATCCGTCAGGGCTTCGCAGCCTGCCGCCGGTCTCCTTTCATAGCGGGATCGGATACATCACAGCTATATCAGGATGTCTCGGCGCCGTCTTGAAGACATGCTGATGCTGACACCGATGGCGATGGTGATGGAGATCTTGCTCATGATGCTGCTGCGGGCGCTGGTGATGAGATGATGATGATGATGATGATGATGATGATGGTGATGATGATGATGATGATGATGATGATGATGATGATGATGATGATGATGATGGTGATGTTGATGGTGTTGATGGCGATGAAGATGAGATTGGGGACGCGAATACGGCGTAGTTCACGAAGGGTCGTGGCTTCGAAGACGCACATCTGGCGTCATGTGCGACGGGTCGTGGACTCGGGGGCGCGAATGTTACGTAATGTGCTAGGGGTCGTGGCCTCGAGGTTCCGGGCACACAAATACTGCGAAATTGCGAGAGGCCATTGTTTTTGGGACGCGCACGAAGCGCAATTTACGAGGGTGCATAGCTTCGGGGGCGCAACTATCACACAGAATGTAAGGGAATCTTGCCTCGGGAACACAAACATTGCATACTACACCATGCATAATGGTTGCAGGCACGCGAATTCAGCGTATTTTGCAAGGCTTATGGCTTGGGGGATGCAGATGTTGCGTAATGTACAAAGGACTCTGGTTTCCGGGACGCGAACGCATTGTATTTTGCAAGGATTATGGCTTCGGGGGCGCACAGATTGCGCAATGTACAAGGGATTCCGGCTTCGGGAACGCGACTTTCATGTGATTGACGAAGGTGTATGGCTTCGGGGGCGCATATACGAAGTAATTATTGAGGGATTCTGGCTTGAGAGAGGCAAATCTGGAATACTTTGGGAGGATGCATGGCTTCAGGGACGCAGAGATTGCTTACTTTAAGCGGGTTTCTGGCCTCGGGGGCGCAAGTGTTGCATAAGCTACGATGGAGTAAGGCTTCGAGGACACGACTACGGCGTAATGAACGAGGGTGTATGACCTCGGGGACACAATAATAGTGTAATGTGCAACTGAATATGGCCTCCGGGAAGCGGCTCGATGGCCTCGGACACGCAACCATAGCGTACTTTATTTCGGTGTATTGTCTCGGGGGCGTGAATGTCGCGTATTTGTACATGTCCCACGGCCCCGCAGGAATTCAGGCAACGCGCGTCGGGCATGGTAGATTGGATCATTTGCCCCCCCCTGCGGACTTCAACAATTTACAGTAGGAAATAGACAGTAGGATTATAGCATGGGAGACTTGAAACTGGAATTGGAGCAGGGAGCAGCAAGCCTGACCTCCGCAACCTGATGGCCCCACAAGGGGGGCGGCGGATCATCATCATCAGCATCATCATCATCGTCGTCGTCGTCTTCGTCATCGTCAGCAGCAGCATCACCATCATCGTCAGTAGGATCAGCATCAGCACCATCATCATCATTTTCATCATCGCCGTCGTCACCATCATCATCTTCATATTCATATCCAGATTCACCTTCATTTTCAGTGTCATGTTCGTTTTCGGTTTCATCATCATCATCATCATCAGCATCATCATCATCAACAACATCACCGTCATTATATTTACTAGTACTGTCATTATCATCACCATTATCATTACCATGGTCATTGCCATCATCGTCATCGTCGTCGTCAGCAGCAGCGGCGGCAGCAGCATCGACGTCGGCGTCGGCGTCGCCGTCGCGCTGGCATCAGCGTCTTGGTCGTCATCGACGTTGTCGTCATCATCATCAGCATCACCGTCATTATCTTAATCATCAACATTACCACCATCATGTTAATCCGAGGAGAGGGGTGATGAGAAGGAGGAAGATCAGCGTAAACCCAAGAGTCATCAACGATGTTCGAATAAACCCTCCCTCCAAGCTCCCTCTTCATAGGCCCCTACAAGGGTTCATTTTCACTGGGGGAACTGCTTCGTTGAAAGACAATCGCTTGAAGACCCTGACACATGCCAAAACATCGTTCTGGGGATTCCAACGCCACGGATCAACCTGACTGTTGCGCCTTGACGATGCTGACTCGCACCAGAACGCCGTCCTTGGGACTGCAACGCTGCGAATCAACGCAACTGTTGCGCCCTCATAGTCCCGAATCCTTCCAAGACACCGTTTCTGGTGCGCTGGTCATGGGAAGCCGTGAAACTCTTGCAACAGTTTGAAGCGAATGCGCCCGGCGCTTAAGGCGAGAACCACGTCTTGAAAAGGAACCGCCCTCATTCCGTGAACTCTTGCAATGTGCGCGGCGCTAACGCGAGAGCCACATTCTGAAAACGACCCGCCCTCAATCCGTGAAATTCTTGAAAATGTTTAAACCGAATGTGCGCGGCGCTAAGGCGAGAGCCACATCTTGAAAACCAGCCGCCCTCCATGTGTGAAACTGTTGTCAAGTTTCGAGCTTCAGGGACATCAATGGTGAGAGGAAGTCTCAGGCGAAACGCCCGGACCTCCCTACAAACTGGCTTCGGGGTGCGACAGGGAGAAGTTATTCATAAGGAAAAGGAATGGAGGAAGAAGAAGAGGTCAGAGGGAGGCTTCAAGCGTGAGAGCGCTGAAGACCAGGGGAGACGAATCCCGCGGACGTCTCCGGGACTCTTGCGACATAGTGCCCCGCGTGGCGTCTAAGCAAATTCGTGGTTGCATTGGCTCTCGGGCCCAACCTTGCAAAATGAAGACCAGGAAAAACGAATCCCAACTGACGTCTCCTCTACTCTGCATTGCCGTTGGTGTTGCCAGATAGCTCTGCATGCAAAATGCAGGTGCCCCCGCAAGCAGTGGCAAAGTGCACGCGACAGCGGCGTGTTTTCACCATGGGGAGGAAGAAGGGGGGGGCAAGGAGGAGGAGGAGGAGGAGGCGGGAGGAGGAGGAGACGGAAGGAAAGGCATGGACGTTGTGAAGAAGATCGAGGCCGTGGGCTCCGGCTCCGGCAAGACCAGCAAGCCTGTGGTGATCGCGGATTCTGGCCAGCTCGCGTGAGCCCCGCGGGTGCAGCCGCGGCTTGCGGCGCGCAGACGGGGTCGTCGATGCCAGTGTCGATATTTCGGGGGCTGTTTTGGGCGTCTCTTTCTCGCGCTAGGCGAATGGAGCCAGGTCCATCAAAATGCTGCGACGGCAAAAACTGTAGGTACGTTTCCCGTTTCTGTTTCAATATCCGCATTAGGTTGCGCAGTCGTTTCGCGCAAGGAAGTATACGCCCGTCCCGTATACGCAGAAGTGTGAATCATATTTCTCGCGGTTGCACTTGTGTCCCTTCCCTGTGGAGCCGTTAGGGCCGGTTCGCTTCGAAGCTGTATGTATATGTATGTATGTATGTATATATACATATATATATATATATATATATATATATACTAGAACCACGCGCGCGCTTCGCGCGCGCTTAGGTTCTGTCGAGTCACAGACCCAGGAATCGTTGTGAGAAGAAATTGGTGGCGCGAAGCGTCGTGGGGGCGTCCTTGGACGTCTGGGGTCTCCTGGGGCCTCTTGAGGGGCCTCCTGGGGGCCTCCTGGCGGCCTCTTGGGGCGGAAGGCTCGAGCTTGCGGTTCGTGGTCCCCCTCTGGGCCCCCTCTTGGGCCCGTCTTGGGGCCCTCTTGGGCCATCTTGGGCGCCTCTTGGGCCGTCTTGGGGCCCTCTTGGGCTGTCCTGGGGCCCTCTTGGAAGCTTCTTGGGCCGTCTTGGGGCGGTCTTGGGCGCCTCTTGGGCCGTCCTGTAACGTCGGAAAGCCCAAAAGACAACTTTGTTGAAAATGTACGTTTTACGAAGGGAATGGGCCAATTTTTGCGTCTAGGGGCCCTCTTGGGACGCATGTTGGAGGCTTCTTGGGGCCTCTTGGGGGCGTCCTTGGACGTCTGGGGTCTCCTGGGGCCTCTTGAGGGGCCTCCTGGGGGCCTCCTGGCGGCCTCTTGGGGCGGAAGGCTCGAGCTTGCGGTTCGTGGTCCCCCTCTGGGCCCCCTCTTGGGCCCGTCTTGGGGCCCTCTTGGGCCATCTTGGGCGCCTCTTGGGCCGTCTTGGGGCCCTCTTGGGCTGTCCTGGGGCCCTCTTGGAAGCTTCTTGGGCCGTCTTGGGGCGGTCTTGGGCGCCTCTTGGGCCGTCCTGTAACGTCGGAAAGCCCAAAAGACAACTTTGTTGAAAATGTACGTTTTACGAAGGGAATGGGCCAATTTTTGCGTCTAGGGGCCCTCTTGGGACGCATGTTGGAGGCTTCTTGGGGCCTCTTGGGGGCGTCCTTGGACGTCTGGGGTCTCCTGGGGCCTCTTGAGGGGCCTCCTGGGGGCCTCCTGGCGGCCTCTTGGGGCGGAAGGCTCGAGCTTGCGGTTCGTGGTCCCCCTCTGGGCCCCCTCTTGGGCCCGTCTTGGGGCCCTCTTGGGCCATCTTGGGCGCCTCTTGGGCCGTCTTGGGGCCCTCTTGGGCTGTCCTGGGGCCCTCTTGGGAAGCGGGCCGTCTTGGGGCGGTCTTGGGCGCCTCTTGGGCCGTCCTGTAACGTCGGAAAGCCCAAAAGGCAACTTTGTTGAAAATGTACGTTTTACGAAGGGAATGGGCCAATTTTTGCGTCTAGGGGCCCTCTTGGGACGCATGTTGGAGGCTTCTTGGGGCCTCTTGGGGGCGTCCTTGGACGTCTGGAGGCCATCTTCAGCATCTCGGAGCCCTCTTGGAGGCCTCTCGGAAGTTTCTTGGGCCGTCTTGGGCGCTCCTGGGGCCGTCTTGTCTGACCTGGGAGGCCTCCGGCAAGCCCCGACGAGCCTCCGGGCCCCCCGGAGCCCACATTTGTGGTCGAGGTCCCGGCCCCGGGCCCCCGGACCCGGTGCGCCGTTATATGTGTGTGTGTATATATATATATATGTATACATACACACACTACATATAGTTTGGAAAGATGCCCCTGGGGAGCTTGCAAGCTCCAAATATTGATATGGAAGGTGTTGCATATTGATCCCGGAACTATGGTATACCGATTCAGAAATTGTTTCGCTTTGATTTGGAATTGTATGTAGATCCGGAGATTATGGTGCACTGATCGGAAATACGGGCTGGGGTATACAGATCCAGAATGGTGTCGGATATTGATCCGGAATCGGGTCGTATATTCGGGTATAGCCAGGACCCCGGGTAAGGCGACCTGGTTAGTGGTAGGGCCCTGGGGCCCCTCAATTGGCCAGATTCACTGAACCAGGTTTGCCGTAACTGGTGTTTTTCGGGTGACGGCAGTTCCGGTTAGCGGAACGGGGCGGGGGGGGGCGCCCCCCAGTACACATCACTTCACCGGTTCCACTAAACCCAGTTCTGCCAACGCCCGATATGTACCCGCCACTTGCCCACGGTCCGCAAAGATCCGAATTTGTCATTCACTTCTTTCGGCGCGCCCTTGTGTTTCCTTGGATCGTCCGGGGCACGACGCCCGAGCTCGACGCCGACCCTGCCCTGACCCCAACTTCCGACGTCCCTACCCTTGCGCCGAGTCTGGCCGATTTCCGCCCCAGGCACCAATCTTGTTCCATTTTTGCGCTTCCAATTCCAAGTAACAACAGAGCGACATCTTCCGCAAGAAGCTGCAAATCATGCTAGCCCACATCGGTCTTGTTGTCGCTTCGCTTGCTGGCTCCCGCTGCGGCCCCGGCTCAGACACTGGCACGCGATCAATTTCGAACGATTTCGGCATGGAATCCGATGGCACGGCATTCCAGCCTGGTCTTCAGCGAGAGTTGGCCCGAACATTGCAAACTGTGGCAGCATTGGGTAGCAGCGACGACGAGGATGGTGCGGAAGAGAAGCGCGAAGAGGAAGTATAGATGAATATCATTCCGACCCTGGCTGCCGACCTATCCACGCCCCTCCCGATTCCAGCTGCGACCGACCCCTCGACGCTCGACCGATTTGCTTCCAAATTCTTGGTTGCCATGGTTTTGGGATCAACGGATTTGGCTCAAGAGCAACTCTGGTTGCTCCAGGATTACATTTGTGCTGCCTCTTGGTCCGCCCCAAGTGAGCAGACTTTCGATGTATGTCATCGTTTGTTTTTTTCGACGCGCTTCCTGGCGAGCCGACAGACGTGTCCCAGAACGCGCTTGTGCCGGAGAAAGGATGTGGGAAGTCAGCTTGCTGTCTACAGATTCGCCGCGAAGTCAGCTTGTCGTCTACAGATTCGCCGAATCCCCAGGGAACACATCAACGCCAAAGAACATTGTACGCATCGGGGAGTGTGACGACATGAAAACCGAGGCAGCGGAGTTCGTCGAAGGTCCGGCTTTGCCAGGTGTCGGAGCAGGTCCGGGTAAAACCGTCGATGTTGTTTCTTTGGGAGGGCTTGCCTTTGATGTCGGAGCGGGATCGAGCGCGATTTTCCTTGTTTCCCAGGGCGCGGCAGGTGTCGGAGCGGGTCTGGCGGCAGCCGTGGACTCTGCTTCTTTGGCTGGGCCTGCCTTCGGTGCCGGAGCGAGATCGAGCGCGATTCACCCTGTTGCCCAAAGTGCGCCGGGCGCCAGAGAAGCGACGAGCGAGACACTGATTGTTTTTTTGGTCATGCCCGCAGCTATCGCATCGGACAGCGACAAGCTTAGTTTTATCATCAGCCAGATGACGACTAAGACCGACGCTGCGCACATGGCTTCGAAACATACGTCGACGAGATGCAAATTCGAATGGCGCAGTTGACGGAAGTGCACGAGGCAAAGTCGCGCCTACCTGCTGGTTTGTCTCAGCGGCATTTGAAAATTATCCACGCAATGGACCCGTCGAATCTGCAGATTGCACGCGTCGGTTTTGGGCGTGAGAACATCGAATTTCGCGCAGCGGAGATGCGAAAATTTGTTTCTGAGAAATATTTCAGCCGGTCAGCACAGGCCATTTCTACAGTGGAACGGGCGGCGCGCAGAAATCTAGCCCAGCCTCCTCCCCGCAGTTTGCTACCGAACGCGGGGCGGAGAGCTTTCTGGGGGACAGTCGGCGGCAGGGGGCCGAAATTTGTTGTTTGATCTTCAAGAGGCACCGCGGTCGCGAAGCGCGCCAAGTCGAAAATGAACAGCGCGCGAAAGTGGGCCTTGCGCGAGGCCGAGCGCGAGATGCGCGGGCGCGCCCCCAAGTCCGTCGCGCGCCTCGATGGGAAGTCGTTATCCGTGGAAGCGGGTGCTGCTTTCGAAAAGAAATCAACCGCCCTGACTGTCACCCGCCAACCTCCATCCCCCCCCCTTTTCCCGCCTGCCCCTCGCGCTGCGAGTGGCGCGCCGCCTCGAAGAAGACGCGGCAGATGCAGGAGGTCTTTTCTGTTTATTCTGCGCCGGCCCAGCCGAATCCACGTCGAACCGCCCCCCGCCCTGACGCGGCGAGTTCCGGCGCGGCGCGGCCCGCTTTGCCGCGGAAGTTTCGGCGGGCGCGCCCGGCGCGAGCCCGGAGAGCGACGGCGCGCGGAGCTTTGCCCCGGAGGGCCCTGCGGGCGCGCGGAGCCCATTAACGGGGAGATTCCAGGTAGCGCAGCCAGCCTTACCCCGGCGGCGTCGGCGAGCGCGCCTGGCCCGAGCCCCGCGGCCCAGGGTCGCGCGCGGGGCTTTGGCCCCGCAGTTTTGGCCCGCGCGTCTCGCCGCCCACCCCGGCCGCCGTTTGCCCGGCGCGCCGCGCGCGATCTGGTTCGCCCGCTCCGAACGCGCGAATCCGAGCGCCTGTCCTTCCAGGCAGCGGCCGCGGCAACCCCCGGCTTCCACCGCGCGTTCGCGACCTCGACCTCGCTCGCCATCTTGCGCGTCAGCATTCGCTCCCTGACAGCGCGCCGCGGCGACCTGGGGGCCAGCCTTGCCCCCTTCGATTCCCCGCCCCACATCGCTGGGATATTCTGCCATGCGCCGCAAGGATAAGAATCGGCAGGTCGGCGGCGACAGATTTGTCGCGCGGGGTCGTCCGTTTCCATTATTTTGTTCGTTCCCCTGTCTCCTTCAGCAGAATTGATCTAGATCGAAGTTCATTAATGTCGCGGCGCGGCCTTCTGCCGCTTAGCTTAGCTGTCTTCGCTGGCGCCCCCAGCGCGGCGCAACATCGTGGGGGGAGAAACGCCGTAAACACGCAATTTGGCGCTCCGCGCGGATTCCCGAGGCCCGCGCCGGGG